ACAGGAAAGACGGCCAAAGACCCGCATTCGTTCTGTCTTCCCCGAGGACAGTGGACTGGCTTCGTCCTCAGGCCCTCCGACACCACGGCTGCAGGGTCGCTGTAGCTGCTGGGAGCTTCGTGTCTGGATCTGACAATATGGTTCCTAAAAGCGCCTCTTAGCAACGGAAAAGTTTCCCCCAAAGTCCTGGCGCAGATCGCCCTCCACGTCTCATTGGCCCAAACTGCATTACAGGCCCAGGCCCTGTCTAAATCAGACCCTATACGGTCTGACTCCAGGACTGCCTTGTCCAATCACTGGGCAGCGTCCCCTGATTACCCGGCTGAGGGGGCGGGGCTAACCCAACAACCGGACTCCCGGAAGGAGGAGATTTGATGCTGCGCAGGCTGGATGCTGTGCCATCGGGACTGAGCCAGCGTCCTCCCTACCCCCCCACCCGACCCACCCTCCAGGTCTGCACTTGTTCTCCGGCGGACTAAAGCCTCTGCGACCGGGTTCCACGTCGCTTCGGTTCCACTCTGGGCCAGCACGCTGCCCGACAGAAAGCAGTCGCCGCGTAAAATTCTGCTCCGACCCCAGGTGCTGGGGTTCCACGTGGCCAGGTCAGAGGAGTGGCTGAGGACCATCTGGAGGACTCCCTTCCGCCCCAGCACCTCCAGTTCTCTGGGGTGTGTGGCATTAAGGTTCTGCTCTCCAGAGAGTTGCTCTTCCGTGCGTTCCTCAGGGTAAGCCATCAGTCACCATAGCAGAGGAACAAACACGCAAACCACAGAACCCTGTACATCTTCGCTGTGACGATCACAGTGCTTCTTCCTCTTTGGCGCTGAACCTTCCAGCAGTATCTCCAGCGGGGCTGAGGGCCAGGACCGCAGCTGGTAACTTTAGTGGTGACATTGACCTAATGTCAGGATGACACTTTGGGGACTGAATATTTTTTGAAAAATTTTCTTTTAAAATTATTTTTATTGATTTGAGACACAGAGAGAGACATCGATTGGTGGTTCCACTTCATTGGTTGTTTCTTGTATGTGCCCTGACCAGGGATCAAACCCACAACCTTGGCCTGTGGGGACGGTGCTCTAACCAACTGAGCTACCCGGCCAGGGCTGACAGTCTTTATTTTTGACACACTGACAGAATGTGTCTTTATTTTGCGGAATGTCTACCAATCTGTTGTGAGAAGCTCATTTCTTTACAGTAACTGACGTCCCCCTTTGGACCTGCTCAGGGCAGCTAGCTCAGGGAGACGGCGGCAGTCAGCACCCACTTTGGAGGGAATTCGCTCAGGGTGACTCACCCACGGCCTCTTGGTGTTGAAATCTACCTGTCACGGTGGGCACCTCACACGAGGTGGTACAGGCAACACTGAACTCCGGTCGGTTAGGACCTAGGCGGTACAGTGCTAATATTTCAGCAGTTACCTCCACACCTGGCTGTACATCAGAAACATATGAGTAATCGTTTTTAAATACTAAATCCTGCACCCCAATCCATTAATTTAAATCAAACAGGCTTGTGAACCAGTGTTTAAGAGAGCAAAGCTTAGCAGGTTTGGGCAGTGGTAGCTGGGGGGCCATGGGGGAGGGGGTGACTTTATCAGAGGGTGGTCTGGGGTTTGGGGCAAGTCCCAGAAATGAGAGATGGCCTCAGACTTTCCTTTTTGTTATAAAAGAAAAACTTCCGCATTTGATCATTTTGCTTGGGGCTCTTTCTTTTAACACAGGAGGAAGGTGAGTTGCAAAGGGCTGAGAGGAGAGGGAGGAGGCGCCAGGCAGGGAAGGCGGGGAACAGTCTGGAAAGTGAGCTCACACTAAGTACGGTAGGATCGGCTGCAGGCAGGTTGCAGACGGCAGATGAGGGGTGCGCCTATGGCCTTGGGGGTGCTGTGTGTGCACACGTGTAGTGTGGCTGCCTCTGTGTGTGAGCAGGGCGGGTGTGGTAGAGGAGAGGTGGAACAGGTTCACTGTGGCCAGAAGGCAGAGAGCTTTCTCTGAAGTCGCCAAGAAATTCGGACTTTACCCTGCGCAAGACGGGGCGCCACCGAACATCTGAAGCAAGAGAGCAACTGGATACAGACCAATGTTAGAAAGATAACATTGGGCCGTGAGGAGACTGGGCCGGAGGGATAAGAGACAAACAGGAAAACCAGTGTAAAACTACAGTAGTTCACACACACACACACACACACACACACGCATGCACAGTCACCCAGGGCCTGACGTGGATGCTACAGCACAGGTCGCCCGGGCTGGGGAGAGGGGACAGAACTTGGAGGCTGGAGATGGGCCACGAGGCCAAGAACAAGGCAAAGGCCCCTCTTCAGTGTTTGCACAGAAGGCTGCCCTAAGCAGCAGCAGACACAGACGAGCGGGGTCCAGAGGACAGGTGCTGACTTCTGCAGGGGGGCAGGTTGAGTCTGACCCTCTCACAGAACCTCCGGGGGGAGATGCTGGGGCAGAGAGAGACGCTGCTGGGGGGGTGGAGGGCAGGTCAGCGCAGGAGCCTGGGCGGGACGCTGGCTTGCACTGTGACTGGCCAGGGGAGAGTGAGCGGATGAGAGAAAGATCGAGGACGGAGCCTTGCAAACAGCACCCAGGGCTGGGCCAAACGCAAGGGCCAGCGGAGGAGACTAAGAAGGAACAGCCAGGAAGGTCAGAGAAAAACTGGGGGGACAGGAGCCAGCGGTGGGGGCGCTTTCAGGAGCAAAGCGCTGCCAAACCAGGCATCGAAAGGCCTTGCTCACGGGGAGAGCACTGGGAGTAGCTGGAGCAGAAGGGAGGGCGCGGGTTGGAGAAGAGTCTGCGGTGGGCACCAGAGACCCGGGACCCAGAGGAGACAGGGTGGGGACGACCTCTCGTTTCACAGTGACAGCTCCCTGGTCCCTCTGCACCCATTACTACTGGGGACTGTCTAGGCCTCTGCGGTCTTTCGTCCATCCTGACCAGCCGACTGCCCTCTCCGTACAAGCACTTAGAGGGGGCCAGATCGGCAGAGGGTGAGAACTTGGAAACCAAACTACGAGCACTGCTTTTCCTAAATACTGAGGAGAAGGGTTATGGAAAGTGAACCTGAATCCGGGCTAAAAAATGACACTTTGGGGTCTTATGTTTCTCCAGTGATTAGCACCTATGCTGGAGAGAAGGCAAGATACATGAACACTTAGACACATATGTCATTAACATTTCACTCTCTGGGATGTATTTAGGTTACACGATTGTACACGCAGTTTGTAAACAACCACAGGCGTGTGCAGCAGTGATGCACCCTCAACAATTTTTTGCAGATTGGAGAATGCCACACGCAATTTCGGCCACCACTGACCTAGAGATTTTGGTTATCTGCGTTCATCTTAGATACCCGGGGGGCCCGGGGGACCCTAAAATGTTGCTGCTTCCCCAGGAACCTCCACTGGTGTCACGATGGTGAAGTTTTGTCGCGTCCATCCTGGACGAGGAGCACACCTGTTCCTTGGGGCCGAGGGAAGAGGCAGGCACACCAGGTGTTACTGGTGCCACTGTGCACCTCTCCCGCTCGCTTGCACGGAGCTGTCCTCACGAAGGAACAAACAAACTCCGGGTTAAACCTCTGTGCCTGCCTTCACGCCTGGAAGCAACACATTCCTCTCTCCACTGCTCTGTCAGAGACAAGCCTCGACTCCTCCGGGAGATGAGAAAACGATGTTATGTTTCCATAGCTCCGGTTAATAATGGGTAATTAGAGAGGACGAAAAGCTTGGAATTAAGTGTCTATTAGCCCTTGGGAAGGTTGTCCTGTTGCAGGGCCTGGTTTCCCACGTGAAGCCGACTTTCCCCCAGACCCCCGGGTCATGGTTGCCGGCCCCTCCGAACACTCCCCGGGAGTGGGGGCAGGAGCGACAGCCCTCGCACCAGACTCGGGTTAAACGGGAAATCCGACGGAGCCTGTCTGCTGCCCGTGGGAACGATGCTGCCCTCTCTCTGCGGCCCCAGAACCTGTTCCAGGGTCACGGGCATTAGGTTTCTTGCGCGGTGAGGAACAGCCACTACGTAGGAGCCTCAGGGAAGGGCAGTTCAGGAAATATTCACGTTAACTTCTTTGTAAAAACATTTGAAAATCAGAGACCATATATTTGTCTTGAGGGCTGATTAAACTCCAAAATACAAATGTGACCCCCCACCCTCCCCCGCAAGTAAAGTAAAATCATTCAGGTTCCTCCTGGGCTCTGCAGAAGGTCTGGGGAAAGCACTCCGGTGCGCACCGGTGGGGCCGCGGCCCGGCTCCCCCAGCCTCAACTCCCCGTGCACAGGGCGAAAGGAGGAAAGGAGTTCGGCGAGGCGTAGGCCCCGCTCCCCGCCCTGCAGTTGCGCGACCTCAGTTCTCCTGCTGTGGCGCCAAGATCAAGAAAGTGGAAAGAACTTTTCCTGGCCCGGGTTTACATTCGTTGAACAGGCGACGTTAGAACAATAAGAGGAAGGCAGGAGGGAAGGAAGAAGTCCCCTCTGCCAAGTACCTAAGAGGCGCTTGGTTTTTCTGCCCCCTGTGTCAAGAAACACCAGCCTGCGTCCTGAAGAAGTGGGGGTCCCAGCACGCACTTGGGGTGCAAAATCAGCACCTGCGGCGCCGGGTTTCCTAAAAGACACAGGAGCCGCAGGCTGCCGCTGGGACCTGAGTCCCGGACCCACACGGAACCCCGGGCGCGGCACCTGTCTCAACCGGGCTGCCGGATTCGCCCTCCGGACACCCACTCACGCCCACTGTCTGTGCACAGGCGTGTGCCTGCGCGCGTGTCTAAAATCAGAGCTCGCACGGACTTGACTCTGAAGGGTGCTTAACAGACGGTGAATCCCTCCTTGGTGGGGACACCAGGCCGGGCGGTGTGGATGAAAGTCTCCACATCCCGCCTCGCCTCTGAGGCTGGGAGCCGGGTTCCACGTGCAGCTGCAGCGGAGACGCGCGCTGCTTGCGCCCCGGCCCCGGTCCCCGACCCTCCGGCCGCCCCTGCGGAGCGCAGCCCGGCTTACCTTGAACGAACAGCAGCACCAGCCGCCGCAGCGGGGTCCCTACGGCTCCCGGCCCCATTCTGCGCCTGCTGGGGAGTTGTAACTGCTCGGGGACAGCAGAGGGACCCGAGAACCGCTCCGCTCGCCAGAGGCCGTCTGGAGGGCTGGGCTCCCCGCCCAGCCAAGCGCAGAGAAAAGTCTTCGGGCAGCTCCGGGGGCGCCAAGGCCCGCCCCGGCCCGCCCCTCGGCCTAGGCTAACACGGATGTGCCCGCCCCGCCCGGCCCCGCCCCGCCGCCCGGCCAGCGGCCGCACCTGGGCCCCACGCCCCCGGAAACCGCACCTTCGCTCCTCGCCAAGGTCCCAGCCCCGGGGTCTGGAAACCCTGGAGAAGCGGCCCCTGCAAACGGCACCCTGTCCCAGACAGACGAGACTGGTGACAACCAGCCTGTCCTCACCCCGCCCCCTGGCAGCCGGACGCCTGTCCCCCCCCCCCTCCGGAGACCCGGGCCTCTGCAGCCCTTGTGGGCTCCTGGCTGGGATAGGGGCTCGTAGGGGCTGCGCAGTGTGCGGCTCCCCTGCGTTGCCCAAGTGGGCGGAGAAGCTGACAAAAATAAGCCTGGAACGACCAGGTTGGAAAGAAAGCCTGCTCCCAAGCTGTGATTATCCTAGGTGACATTTAAGTGAGACCTGCTGCAGGAGCGCTGTGTGTGTCAGAGAGAGAGAGTGAGATCCTCGTTCGCTCCTCTCCTCCAAGGTAATAAATACAGAGCTGACTGCATTGCTAAGTTTGAGCAATTTACTGGTAGACGCAGGGAGCTGAGCCCAGGTGGAGAGCTGAGCCCAGGCGGGAACCGTGACCCTTCCTCCTCACCTGTAGGAAACCTTTATCATTTTACTTGCCCGCAGGGAGCCAGTCTCTTATCTGGAAAGAGAACATTCTATGACCGCATGCGACATTTTTACTTACCACCCTAAGAAGTAATAGGATATTCGCTTTTCTTTAAACCTGACTTTTCCTCCAAAAATTCCTCCACAAATTTCCAGCCATAGCCAAAGCTAGAATTCTTCCAGTGACTACTTTTGGGAAGCAAGTGTTTTAGTAATTGAACTTAAGACGTTATTGTCACCATCCCAAATCTTTGTGAAGGGATGCTTAAGGGTGCTATCACTGAAAGCAGAGTGACTGATTCAGGGTGGAAAGAGTTTCTTTAATCGGTGAAAAGCAAATGCTCCCTTTCACTTCCAGGGCAGGAATCTCAAATTTTTAAAGTCTTAAATTGGTACTGATCAAATATTACCGCTTCTAATTATGACCATAAACTCTGTACCTTTGAACCCAAAATGGGTAGCCTTCAGTTCTTTCCTGTCTTCTTATCTGTCTGACTAACTCTGCTTACTAATCCTGAAAAAAACACCCTCCGGCCTTTTTTCCCTGACCTGTCTTTGCCACTCACCGGCTTACTAAGGCCTCAGCTAACGCCTGAGAGCGCCCCCCTGGTGGCCGCTGGCTAACCCCGCACCACGCCCAGACTCCTGTCTTGCAGGAAGTCAGCCAGGTTTCAGGGAGATGAACAGATCTCCTTGGGCTCACCAGAGTGTGAGTGCCTGCTCCGAGCAGACTGTGTTTAGGGGGCAGGAGAGCTCCTTCTTGCGAGTCAGAAACCGGAGCTTTGTCTTTGGGTGCTGGGGACGACAGTGCACCCTTTTTTGCTTTTGGGCTCAGAACTGGACAAGCGAGCATTTTGCAGGCATGGGGACAAAAGAAACCAGGAGTTAGATTTTTTTTCATAGCAGACAAACATTTCAAATTTCAGGAAACAAATTACTGACTCCTGCTCCACATTATCTTCACGAGTATGAAGGGTTCCGGAGATAAAAGTTTGAGAACGCCTGCTTTAAAATTCCCAGGCACCGCTGTCCTGCCTCCATCCCACTTAGCTGGACCCCCCACACAGGGCAGGAAATAAGAGGATCAAGTGAAGGCGTCGCAAACTCTTTGGTCTTAGGAGCTCTTTACCCTCTTAAAATTATTTTGAATCTCTTGGGTGAATGTATTTAAAATGCACTTTATATATATGAATAGACGTATATGATAGATGGGATATCATTCAACTGTAGAAAGAAGATTTCCTGCCATTTACGATACCGTGAATGACCCCCGAGGATGTTATGCTGGGTGGAAGCAGACAGACGGAGAGAGACAGGTGCCATGTGATCTTACTGACCTGTGCAATCTACGAAAGTCTGTTCATGGTGCAGACATAGCAGGGTGACGAGCTGGGCTAGCAGCGGGGGAACTGCCGAGATGCTGGTCTTGGGGTATAAGCTTTCAGCTGTCAGATTTGTAAGTTCTGGGAATCCAACACACAGCGTGGTGACTATAGCTAGTACTACTGTGCTATATACTTGAAATCTGCCAGGAGAGTAGATCTAAAGGGGTCTCACCACACACACACAGTAATTAAGTGAGGTGGCGGATGTGTTCAGTAGCCTGATTGTGGTACACACTTCACATGTTTGTATGTATCAACTCATCACTTTGTCCATTTTAAATATGCAAACTTCTTAATTGCCAGTTACAACTCAAAATGGCTGGGAAAAAATATTGAGGATCCCACAGAACTTTTGTTTATGTGGATTATTTCTACCACTGCTTAGCAAATAAGAAATTGAAACAGATAAATTTTCCAATATTTATGTGTTCATTCCTTAAAATAACAGTAAGGCTGTTACATGTTAATGTAAAAACACGTTTTATGTAAAATAGCTTTATTTCCCAAAATAAAAAATTCATCAGAAGAATTATGGTTTTTGCCGATCGTTCAAATGCCTGCCTAGAAAGAAACACTTGTATTTTCAGATCTGCTTCTGCATTCAGTCTGTTACAGTCGGTAGTTTTCATGAAACTATATGACTTATACTGGTATTGTACAGATGCATAGTTAGAAAAATGAAACAATTGTGGATCTCTGTACCCAGCCGCCAGAATCTTAAGAATCTGTGTAAAGTTCTCAATGGGGTTCAGTCACATAGACCACCCAGATGGACGCAAGCACCCATTACACATCGGGCTGAGTCCCTGACGTGGCTCCTGGCAGGGGGACGGGGGCAGGAGGTACATTGGAAGACGGGGAAAAATAAGGAGCCTCTGGTTGCCTGGGTGACAAGTAGTGACATCTCCTTGATGACCCCCAACATCTGCTGCATCAAAATTCATTGGCCTATTGAGCACTTTAAATAGGTTTTACCCATAAAAGAGTTTGTCCCTCGGTGTATTGGTCATTTGGACAATATCCGTTTACCGCATTACGCAGATCTTCCAATTGTTGCTACATTTCAGGACACAATATAAAAAAAAAGCCTCGTTACTGCCCATCTCAGAAAAGTCTTCCCGTGTGGGGGTCCAGCTCCAGCTGGAGGGTACGCTCTTCCCAAAGCTCTCCTTGTTAGAAAGCTTGAACTTTGTCGTCGGCAACACACGCTGTGGGTTGTTTTGCTTTAAACGAAAAGCCCACTTTGTTCATTTTTGAGTCAAGTACATCACAGTTCTCTTTCTAAAATGCAGAGTCAATCTGCTGAACATCCTTCCAGGTCTACAGAACGAAGTTCAAGTACCTGAGCATTTAAACTCCTGGTGAACCCTGACCTGACCCTCCAGTCTCTCTCTCCATTCACCCCACTATACTCAGGCCAAATTCACCCGACTGATTACGTGGCTCATTCTTCTCTGCTAATTTCTTAGCTATGTGTATGCCCAGAATGCCTTTACCCTTTTTCCATTTCCTAAAAGGCTCCATTCTAATTTCATTTCATCTGCCAACTTTTCCTATTCCCTTTATTCAGAACCGATTTTTTTCTTTCTTGACTCCTGACTCTCACAGTTTAAGAAAATCTCATTTTTGTATGTATTATGGTATGACTTGAGTTTAATTATAAGTGTATGCTCCGCTTCTCACTTAAATGCTGGATCTCTGACATCTTACATGTTTCTGTCATAAGAATTTCGTCTTGTACCTGGCAAATGAGTTCCTAACAATAGTTACTAAGGTGAAACCAATTTTGTGGTGGTTCCACATTCTTCTCCCCAGACCTTAGAAGGGCAGTGAATGTGAAGTTCCATGTCAATCCTGGAAGTTTTGAAATGAAGTAACCAGGGGACTTCTCAAACATTACCCAGGAAATCGATGATGACAAAGCTGAGTGACTCGCAGGACCCATAGCGCCTGACTCACCCACAGGTCTCCCCGCACCGGTGGAGCTGCCTCAGGTCCAAAAATAGAAGAGAAACTCTTTTTTCAGGTTGGAACGCCTGGCAGTATTATCGACGTAAAAACAAACAAAGCAGGGAAACAAGGGTAGAATAGGTGGCCCAGCACCCTGGCCTCGTTCACACAGCACATGTTCTGCCCATCCTTGCCCACCAGCCCTGCCAGGGCCGACGGTCCCTACTGGCTGCCGTCGTCCTCGCTACCTGCATGGCAGACCTGCATGGCAGACGTGCAAGCCATCTGCCTGCTCTGCCTGGGGCTCACGCTGAGTTTGCTACGATTCCGCCTGGAACTCACGGACCCTGCCTCCCAGGGATGTGGACTGACCCCGCCCTGAGCCAGATCCATCAGAGTTACTTCCAGGGCTGTGTAGTTGGGGTGTGGAGATAAGAGAGTCTTTGCTGACCACAGGGAATAGCAGTTCAAGCTCACTTGGGGCCATTTTCCTTAAGGAGCACAGAAAGTGCCACTTTGCAGCTCTTCACTTGAAACAGAGATGCAGAGACACTGAGGTGCTGAGGCTCATGGGAGGGAGGAAGGGAGGGAGGGAGGGAGGGGGAAAGAGGGAGGAGGGAGGGGGTGAGTTTGCTTTCATGTTGATCTTTTTCTGAGTTGTTTTCAGCCCTTTGTGAGATCTGACTGCACTTCCTACCCTTCAGTTCCACAAAGTGCCCCTGTATTGCCCTAACATTTTCCCTTTTTCTTTTAATGTAGCTCATTAGGTTATTATTCCTTGCACTAGCTTACCTTTAAGACATATAAAGTTCTCCTGTGGGCAATCCTGGAGGAGACAGAACATGCCTCATTAACTTCTCTTCCTCACAGCCCCTGAAACAGGGACCAACACAGCGTAGATGTTCAATAAATGTTTGTTTCACTGATGCATAAATGCATTTGCACAAATAATGGCCAACACTGTAATTTAATAAGCTAGTGCAG